CATTTGTTTGCATTTGTGTTTAACAAAAATGGAGTAACTTCTTTAATAGAATTCTAGCAATTACTGTAACTGTGCATACGTAATAGCAAACTGACAGAAATATCACCAACTTGGTGATGATGAACTTATCGCAAAGCAAAGAAATAATTGGTCATTGAATATTTGTTTCACTGCCTTTATTGAAACATTCATTAATATGTATTCATTGTGATCAATTTAATAATCTTTAAAACCGCAAGAACACTACTAAATGGCGGGATTTGCAAACTTATTCAGTTTTCCGATATGGGATCTTATCCTATCAGAAAATATCTTTTCAGTTTCGCTAGGCACGAATTTTCGTTTAAATGTCTATCGGATTTCTTTAAGCTAGACAGTAATAAGTTATATAAAAGTAGAATTCGTGCACCATGGTCGAGTATAATTCCACTGTAGTTCCTTTATTCTATGTATCTAACAATCACGTGGTATTATTTATTGGATGGCGTTTGCACATGATTATATCTGCGTAATCATACAACTTTCAAAGTTCAAAAACTCTTCTTTTTTTCATTTCTATTTCTGGTGAAGTCGTACGTGTTTCTGTTGAACTGATGGATAAAGATTCGGTAGTGAATCTTCCTCTTCAACCCAGATGTATTGGATTTTAGAACTGTCAGCCTACACCTATTTATTGTGTAGTTATAAGTCGGTGAATGTGGGGTGATGGCCGAACCATTCTCTTAATCAACTATTTCTGTAGAGCTTTTCATTCTGTACTTTCAGATTATTTTGTGCTCAGCTATCCTGTCTGACTTCGATTAGCTACGCTAACCTATGTCCTTGACCTATGGAACTATCGAATCATACTTGCTAAATGGGCTGTACAAGAATTTTTAGTCTAGAAAGTTTCTCTTTGAGTTGGTTTATGCTTTTACATGCCAACCTAATTCCCGTGTTGCTAAAAGTCCTACATAAACTTTCTAACGTCCCTCCTTTAAAAAACAGAACTGAAGAAGATCTGAATTCTTTATCAGTCATTTTGCAATCACTACTAAAATTCTTATTAATTCTTTTCTAATGAGTTCTTAAAGATTGCTGTCAACCCCAGAGGGTGGTTATCAACCAGCCATGTATGTTCAATGTGCTTGAGTTCTTTATTTAGATTTCTTGACTTACTAACCAGATTTCTGGCTTGATTCCTTTGGAATTTTAGTAAGCCTACCTTAAAATATATACGGTGACATGATGATGTAAAATCTAAGTATCGTCTCGTTAACTAGTTGACTAGTTACTAGCCAGTCCTAAGCCCGGGTAAAGAGGGAAGGTTGGGCATAGGGCTAGCAACCCTACACCGGAAAACAAATCTAACCGCTAAACAAACTTAAAAGCACAAACGAAATATAAAAAATAATAACAAAATTATTCCTCGCTGGAATCGGAGAGGCGAAATGACGCCGGTTGTTGAAAGCTTGCCTTCGGGAAGCCAATTGGCCGATGTGTCTTCTCTCCCTCTATGAAAGCGAAAGTAAACGTGGGGACATGGAATGTCCGCACCATGTTTGAACCCAGCAAGGCAGCTCAGATTGCAAACGAGATGAAGAGGTATCACATTGAAGTGCCTGGAATTTGCGAAAGCAGATGTAATGTGAGTGGACTCTCCAAACTGTCAACTGAAGAATCAATAATCTGCTCCAATATTGTCACCCAGACGACAACCACGAGCACACTGAGTTATGGAGTGGCTATCACGATGTCCCCAAGAGCATCGAAAGATCTCATGCAGTGGGAACCAATTTCCTCCTCCTCCAGGATCATGACAGCAAGATTCAACTCAAAAGGAAGGAAGGTCACAACCATACAATGCTATGCACCCACAAATAATGCAGAGCAAGAGAAGAAGGAGGAATTCTATAGACAACTTCAATCAACACTGGACAAGACCTTAGTTGGCGATGTCAAGATTCTAATGGGCGGAGTGACATGAATGTCAAACTGGGAGGGGACAACACAGGACGAGAACTAACCATGGGTCGAGAAGTGCTAGGTGAAATGAACAAGAATGGAGAATTGTTTGCAGAATTCTGTGCATTCAACGATTTGGTGATTGAAGGCTAGACAGTGTGTTCAAGCACAAGGATATCCGCAAAGCTAGCGACATCGATTTCACCAGACACCACCACACACTAAAAGTCAGATCGACTTTATCTGAATCTCAAGAAAATGGAGATGCAGTCTACTTGACATAAGGTCAAGAAGAGGAGCAGATGTAGGTTCACACCACTCACTATCTAGTGCAAGGAACCTTCCAAATCAAGTTAAATGCCTTCAAGGAAGCTGGTGATGATAGACCACAGTTCAAGTACAACACTCGGAAACTGAACTGAAGGACGAAACTACGAAGGAAATCTTCACGGCAGCCAGCCATCAAGACAAAATAGGAGATATCGAGGAACATCCCTGAAGAAACCTGTGTTGAAGAACACTGGAAGTCTTTGAAAGCTATGTGGAAAGAAACCTGTACAGCCGTTTCAGGAAGGAAGAAGAAAGAAGAAGATAAGGAATGGATCTCGATGGATACATGGAAGTTGATAGAGCAGGGAGAGGAGGATGGTGATGGTGAAGCAGAGGATAAACCAGTGCAAGGATGCTCAACGACAAGAGAAACTGAGCACAATGTATAAACACTGAACAAAGAAGTAAAGAAGAGTGCACGCAAAGACAAAAGACACTTCTACGAAACACTGGCAAGTGAAGCAGAACAGGCTGCCGGCTGGTAGGAAAGACAGAAACCTGACAACATTGTATCAAATAACCAGGTTACTTGCTGTCTGGGAAGAGATTAACACACATGCAACCAATAAAAGATGATGAAGGGAATTTAATTACGAAGGAAGAGAAACAAAGGAAACAATGGGCTGACCACTTCAAGAAGCTCTTGAATCGACCACCACCACCAACAACACCACCTGCACTTCATCCAGAAACACCACCTGCAGCCCAGCCACAGAACTACAAGTGAACGCAAATCCTGCAACAGAAGTCGAAGTCCTGAACGCAACGCCATAAAGCTACTGAAATGCGGGAAAGCGGTGGGACCAGATGGGATCCTGCCAGAAGCACTGAAAACAGACTCAGAGACAACAGCGGACATGCTCACACTACACCACTGTTGCAGAAGGTGTGGAAGGAAAGGAAGGTACCTGCCGAGAGATAGGAAGAAGGTCTATCTTGTCGAACTCCCGAAGAAGGGAGACCTCAGTGTTTGCGAGAAGTGGTGCGGAATCAGGCTCCACTCCTGTCCACCCAAAGCAAAATATTGAGCCGCATCATCCTGAAGAGACTGAAGGATGCACTACATTCAAAACTACGACCGGAACAGGCAGGCTTCAGAAAGTACAAATCATGTGCGGATCAAATTGCAACGCTATGCTACGCATCATCATAGAACAGAGTATAGAATGGCAGTCAACTCTACTCCACAAATTTATCGACTTTGAAAAGGCCTTTGACAGCGTCGACCGAGAGGTAATTTGGAAACTGCTTCATTACTACGGAATACCACAAACCCTTAACAGCCTCATTCAACAGCTAAATGACGACGCTACATGCCAAGTGATTCATAATGGAAAGCTCAGTGATACCTTTGAAGTGAAGACAGGAGTAAGACAAGGCTATCGCCTACTATCACCAATGACCTTCCTGATTGTAATCGACTCGACTGAACTGGATCGTGCAGCAGACAACTGTGGGGAGCGAGAAGGTGTGCATACACTGGCTGGGCCGATGAAAAGACCCTACACGATTTGGATTTTGCCAACGATGATGATTTATGTCTAATATTTATCTTGTCGCCCAAACTCAAAGATCTACAGGCGAAGAAAACCAAGAAGTTGAGAGAAGAGGCAGGTGAGAGCAGTGAAGACGGGCTTCAAGTGGATACAGAGAAGACAGAGGTGATGAAGATGCTCAACCAGCAGCAGCAGCAGCAGCAGCAACAACAACAACAAGAAGAAGCACTGATCACAATGAACAGGAGAAATCCAGAGGAAGTAGTCTTTTTCACCTACCACTCTACCTAAGCAGCATCATTTCAACTACAGACAGTGATGGCACAGATTTGGAAGTCAAAGTCGGTATCAGAAAGACAACAGGATAGGCCTTCATCAATCTGAAATCAGTGTGGAGATCTATTGCACTCCACTCGACCAGCATAAAGTGTGAACAAGATCCGGATTTTCAACACTGATGTCAGTCAAGTGAGTCAGTGCTTCTATGTGATGGTTGAGAGAATTGGTGGTGCGTTATGAAAAGCATTTGCAACAAGCTGCAAACACATATGATCAGTGGCTGCAGCCTATGCTCACCCGATACTGAAGATCAGATGTCGATAGTAATAAGAATAAGCAACAGTGAACTCTGTGTCAGTCTGGCTACGAGCCAACCAAGAACCTGTCACCTAAGAAATATGCAGGCGAAATTGGAGATGGATTGGTTTGGACGTACACTTAGAAGACCGTTTGGGGACATCACGCACTAGGTCGGGCCGGGTGGTCTATTGGAACCTGAATGGGAAACGACGAGTTGGGTGTTGGAGGCGAGGGTGATATGGAGGAGATGATGTGAGGAAGAAATGAAAGCTTGTGGGTGGTTGTTGAATGAGTTTCAGAAGACTGCAGAGAAGAGGGTGCAGTGGCGACGTGGTACTGAAGCCGTATGTTCCACTAGGAACTTAAGGGACAGTTAATAATAATAATGATGAAGAAACTCCCCAGCAGTACGCACCCACGGTCCGTTCGCCGTGAAACTTGAAAGTTCTGGGTTTGTTCCCTAGCCGGGTCGTAGGTATGCACTGCTGAGGAGTTCGGAACGACGGAACGACTGTCCAGCGTTCCTAGGTTTGCAGTGGTTCTCCAACTGATGTCATCCCATGATTAATACTACATCAAATGAATCAGTGTCAGATTTAAATATAAAATCTCGATTGCTTATGTATAAAGTACTCGTGTATATGCACATACGTGGAATAAACTCCTCACGAAAGTGAACATCAACATTGGTCAGTTTATACCAGACAGTTCGATTGTAATCTGACCAACCACGATCTTTTATAGCACAACATCTTAGATAACTTTGCATGAAATCCCAAGCGTGTGTTATTGTCATAACTTGACCATAATTTGGAAATGTGTCAAACATTCGATTGTATATCAATTCTGTCATCTGTAAAAAAATATGAAGGAGAGAACATAAAGGGTCATACTAAATAGGCAATATATATTTCATAGATGTAACCGCTACTCAAGTCAGTGTATAATTTTGGATGGAGTAGGGTTATGAATGAATTAAATTCTTGATAGTCCATCTAATGTTTCATATCTTATTTGTCTATTAATACCATATCGTCGTGCGTACTACTTATAAGGATACATATTAGTAGTATATAACCATAACTTACTTTTCTTTATTAGTTTGTGTTTAGCACTTTCTTTCTATGCATCCAGTTTATTTCTCCAGAACAATCACTGATTGAATGTTACTGTTAGCTTCTTTAATTCAGTGGCATCACTGTATATACTGCTTATATACGTTCGTTTAAGTAGGACTTGGCAATAAAATTTTCTGACTGCTTTAACCTTTGTGTTTTATTATTCCTACTTGAACTTATCCAAAGATTTGATTCCTCATCATGGTAAACTATTTATCATCCTTTCATGATGGAAAAGAAAATAATTTTTTAGCCTCGACCTGAATTCCAACCATTTGCAAACATATTTTATGAGTTATGGTGACCGTCTGATATTTTTTTTTCCTCTTTATATCTGTCTACATTTCTGTTTGTAGGTTACATTAGATTTCTCAGATTATGGTCTTCATCTCCATTATCTTGTCACCTAAAAGTATGGGTAATCTAGTAAATAACACAGGCCTTCAGTACATACTATGAGGTAGATCATTTGGTGATCTATAGTGTTTACTATAGAATTGTAAGAGAAAATTGGAGAAGAGCATCAATAAATGGAATATAACAGTCATAATAAATGTCTGCGGCTTTGAATAAAGGTCACTGACTAGTTTATCAGTCATCCAAGTCATCACTGAACCTGTATAGTAGAGATAGTGGTTGTTTAGGCGCAGTCTTCCAATATATTCAGCCTTGAATCGAGTTACAACTCGGTTTCATCAAATCACCTTGCATTATCGATCACTCGTCATTCTGGTAATCAGAACAAATTATAAGATCATGCGATTTAGGCGACTGTTACTGTATGATGCTGGTTGATGATTGAAAGTGAAATGAAAACCTTGATCATGGTAGAATTCGAATCAGCAACCTCTGGGTTACCAAAAGAGAGGTCTTCCAAATGTATCACAAGATCCACTTACGCATCAGGCCTTCACTACAACTCTATCAACGAGAATTCTGTGGTGTTAATTAGCGATACATAAGAAATCTTGAGCCTATTCAGAATCAAATAGATTAATAGTAAAGTCCGTAACTTCAGCACTCAGTATTGTATCCTGGAATGGAATGGAATGGTAAGAACCCCATAACCAGGAAAAATCCCTGCCTATTAGTTTTTACCTCTTAAAATAATAAAAACTTAGAGTGCAGTGCTATTTCATATATCGTTGGTTGTATTGGAAAATTTATCAACAAATTCTGATTAGAATTAAGAAATCACCAGTAACAGCAGTTAATATCCAATGACCAGCTAGTGAACCTCTAGTGTGTTAATAGTGATATATACAAGAGGTGAATTATTGAACAATGAACACAAAAATGATGTAAAAAATAAATTATTATAAACTCACAGTTTTAGGGTACACATAAACAATCATCGATGTGCATCCAATGACAACACTGAGAAAAATTAATCCAACACATGCCTAATAATGAAGTTAAACATTATTCTATTGTAATCTATTATCATTTACCAGAATGGCTGCAAATCGATTCACATGAGTAAAACTATAAAAACTGACTAAACCAATTAAGATGGTGAATATTCCACAGGCTAGAATAGTATATATTCCACCAAAGAATACATATTTTCCAAAAATTTCTCCCATATATTCAAATGTGGCTAATGTAAATCCTGTGGAACCACTCAAACTTCCACCAAATAACTATAAAATTATACAAAGATTATTTGAAACTTACAATAACAAGCAGGCAGAGTAATGAACCAATAATACGTAGAAATATAGTTATCCTGTAGCGTTTACTTCCCATCATCTATTATGAAAAAGAGATTAAAAGTTGATTTTTAAGTAATACACAATCTTTCAAGTTGTTATTCATTGTAGACTGACATCAGTTGGAGGAACAAAGGAAACCTGGGAGCACTGGACAGCTGTTTCGTCCTAGTATGGGACTCCTCAGTCAGTGCGCACCCACGACCCCACCAGCAGGGATCGAACCCGCGACCTTCAGGTTCCGCGGCCAGCGCGTCACCATTGAGCCACTGGGTCAGAATTCAATGCTCTATATTTCCAACTTCTGTTAGCTCACGATATATAGCGCAACCGCCACCCAATGTCATCGCTGAGTATTTGTCCTCATGGCCATCAGGCTTTGACTCCACCGGTCACGACTTAAGATGAATAACAGCTTGAAATAATTCCAAATCTCCACAACTCCCTCAAAATACACACTCTTGTTAAATACTACGAAATAAGTTGGAATGAAACATTTAAAAATAAATAAATAATGATTTATTCTATCTAGAGGTTTAATAATTGATTTCAGGTTGGAATTTTACCATGAAGTAACATCATTTAGAGGAACATTGGAAATCTGAGAGCACTAGTCGGATGTTTCGTCCCACTAGTATGGGACTCCTCAGTAGTGTGCACTCATGACCCCACCCCACCAGGGATCTAATCCAGAACCTTCAGGTTCTGTGGCTATCACGTCACCACTGAGCCGCAGGGTTGGGATTCAATTGTCCACATTTCCTACTTCTGTAGGTTGCACTATATTGTGAACTGACAGAAGTAGGAAATATGGACCATTGGATCCCTGTCCGGTGGCTAGAGGGTGATGTGCTGACCACGGAACCTGAAGATTCTGGGTTCGATCCCTGGTAGGGTAGGGCCATGGGTGCACACCACTGAGGAGTCCCACGCTAGGACGAAACAGCTGTCCAGTGTTATCAGGTTTCCAATGTTCCTCCAACTGATGTCAATCCATGATAAATCCCAACCTAAAATCAAATAATCATTTGGTTCACTTGACAAATTTGAATCAAGTAAAGGCGAACAGATTTGCGAAAAGCAGAGTTGAAACAGTTACTGTTTCCATATGTAAAAGGTGTTTATTTTCAGCTTAACAACTAGCTATGCGGGCAGACTGATGAGGTGGTCTACGATAACCGCGAGAACTTATTCTAGTTGATACATTGTGGTTCATCTTGAACACAAACTTCTTGACTCAATTATCAAGCAGATAACATCTTACTACAGGTATATTGACAATACGTTTGTTGCTGGTGACAACATGAATCGCTGTAGGCCTTCAACCAAGTCTATCCTAACACAAATTTCTCTGTGGATTATAGAAGTGAAAAAAGATCCAACTTTTTAGACCTAAGTGTATTTAGCAGAAACGATCGTGTAGGCGGTGGACATAGACCATTTAAAACCTCACGCACATGATCTAAATCTGGTTGAATAGGCTATCAAAATATTCTACCTTTTCTTTAAAGTAGTTTAGTTAAGAAGAAAAGGAGCCAACGTTTGGTGAATGAAAAATCTTGAGAGTTTATATATGTAACGAAGAAACCGATATACACTTGAACAGAGCATCCAAACTGGATAACTAGTATATTCACATCTGACCACAATGACTTCTTGAGGATCTGATTAAAGGAAGAGGAGTTTTCACTGAATTAACATTTAGAAAAGAGAAAGACGGAGATAAACTTAGAATTTTATGTTTTTCAAGTTGTTAGGTCTCAGAATTAAATGTTTTGAAGGCCCATTTGCATAGGTCAACTGACACTTCAAGAGCTTTGAACATGTTCTACACGACTGTTCTCAGCATTAAGAATGAAGTGCCATAGCCTGAGATGTTAGTCTCTGGACTAGATTCTGATGTAAAGGCTGTTGCTAAAACCTGGCTCATAAAAAACTTAGATTTTACCCTGATTCCATCCAGTTATTCCAGTGTTAAGTAGGATAAAGTTGTAAGTCACAAGTTTGGTCATATACTACTTTATGTTTTACATGAGATCAGTTAATCCAGAATCATATGAATTCGGTATATATGAAGCAGTTGGTCGTGAGCTGAAGTTCATAAAAGGTATTTGTACTAGTGAGGTAAGTTTTTGTAGTTCATCTTTCCTTGTGACGGACTTTGAACTGAACCAAAAATGGAACTGGAGTAAAGGCAATAGACACAATAACAGTGGGTGACCTGAACACATCACTTATAGTCTAAGCCTCAGATTGTAGCTCCGGAGAATGGTCTTCCTTTAATGGCATCAGAATCTGTCTTAGTTGTGAATGTAACTTGTGTAACATGTCAGGGTTTATAATGTAGGCTGTTATTATTAGATTTAGTTTTAACCCATCATTACGAAGACATTGTGGATCTAAGGTACTTCCCTGTATCAGTAAGTAGCGGACATGTTGCATTAAATTTCGGTTTTTGAACGTAAGAGTTTGACTGTAACGCTTTTCCTCCCAGGACCAAATGTGTGGTGTGCAGATATTTTGGGAATAAACGATTGTGCGGTTGATGAGGAGTAAAATATCCATAAAGACTTCTCTATCGAGAAAGCCTGGGATAGGTTTATGACTATATTTGAAGTGGTAGTGATGCCACTTGGCCCACTGTCGATCCTACTGAGACATTCATATTAACCTTTGGTTTCAATACAGTACTCAAAAACTACTAGAATGACTGAAAGTTTATGAAATCTCTTTTAGAGACTGGTTTGGAAACACTTAAAACTGTAAGATTCGAAACCTAAACAAAGCTTGGCTTACATGGTTTTGAATATCATACGGGAAACATCTTGGTTTGGTACAGTCTAATCTATCCAGGGTTGAGTGCCTACCGAAGTACTTCGTTCGGTCCAGAGAGTGATGTATTAAAAGGTACTCATTCACCACCGCATACATTACATATAACGAAGGAAATAGTCTTCCAGCTGCTTATTAACCCAAGCCTAGGAAACCCTTGGATATTAACAGTTCGCATACTAGATTGTTATCTTTGTTGGCAAATGTTGTTGCTAAGTTAGTTGCTCACGAATTTGCGCCTGTCCCAGACCTGACGCCACAGAGGTTAGAAAGATGCAATAATCAACCCAGTAGTCATCAGTTAGTATCTAACTGTTACCAGGTGGTTTAAACTAATATAGTCAGAGGTTTTTGAAAGGTGGTTTGTGCTTGGTTATATCCAGGGAAACATCATTTTAACACTACAGTGAAACAGTTTTCAGGCAGAACGCCCCTATTTAATAAACCCTTGGATAGAGAGGGAGGGATGGATTGCAGGCCATGGTAGCAAACTCCTAACAGACCACGTGTTCCTAGACTTCGGGAAGGCTTTTAAAAAGTTGTTCTATTCAAAATTACTTGGAGTGTTCTTCTCTCTTGAACTTTGTGCTAAATTGCAGGCAGAACTTAAGGACTTTATGTAAAATAGAAGGCTAACAGTGAGGGTTCATAACTCTCTAAGTGGAAACCTTTGATGGGTGAAGTTCTTCAAGGAATATTTTTGCATCCTTTCTTTTTCCTGCTCCACGTTAACGATTTATCGAAAATTCTAAACTGTTCAATACTCCTATTCGTTGACGATGTAAAAGTCTAGATAACCATACGGAGTAATCCTTATAGGTATGTACTTCAAAAAATCTTCGATGAACTGACAGGTCGGTTCAGAGGTTTGTCTATGGAAATTAACTTTAACGAAAATGCAATGATGCACATTGGTTATAGTAACTGTTTCGGGCATTCCGTTTGTGGTAAACCGTTACTCCCTGCGGTGGAACGAAAATGCGCAGATGTCATCGTCTGGAAAGATCCACGTACTTCATTTCAGCTGTCTCAAAAGCTTTCGATGTGGTATGCTATCTAAACAGAACTTTAAAATGTTTTGATCACGATGTGCTTAGGACACTGTTCTAAAAACGTAAACCTCACACTAAGTGCTACATTCAGGCAGTCGTTCTACTTCTAAAAAGGGATACCCATGTAACTGTGGATGCTAAAAGGGTAGGTAATAAGCTTGTAATCAACCTTTCTAATCTGCCCTACGAACGGTGATAAGATCTGTTGAATTTATTCTCACTGTCTTATCGTAGGAGAACGGGTGATCTCATAGAGGAATTCCGAACCATCAAGGGTACGGCATTATTCACTTTGATAATTATGCATCTTTTGTTTCCTCTTCTGCAAAGATTGACTGTCCCCAAGGTCATCGGAAGAAATTTCAGAACAACACGAGAATGAGACTGCACTTCTCCTGTTGAATGGTCAGTCTTCACATATAAGGTTAGTAGGCCAATTAAGCCTGTTCTAATCCTTGCAATCTTGATGTCATTGTTAAGGATACAGAGAGCAGGTACTGGTGGGATCCATTGGCTTTGGCAGATGACTGTCAACAGTGGGTTACTGAGTTTGACCACCACTCCACCTACCGGAGTTTGAGGAGCTACATAGTATCATTAACCCTCACACAACAGGTGTGGTTCATTGCTAACTGCACGGATGGACGCATGGTTGTTACGTAGGTCTTGACTCGAGTCGATACACAGTGATAACACTCGGTTCCTTCTTTCTCTACCAAACGATACTAGGAAACGATCTAGTCACGCTAAAACTTCTTAAGGATAGCTTAGACAAACCAGCCACCAATTATTAGAACTCACTACCTCAAAAAGTGGTATCTGCTTCTTCGGCTAATACGTTCATGAAGAAAGGAGGTCTTTACAATGATATCCACAGTAAAAATTGAAGAAGAACAACCAATATACTATCGCGATTAGTGAATAATGCATCTGATGCAGTAAGGAAAAGCACAGAAGAATAATAACTGCCCCTGGTCATTTCACATATATGTGGGGTACTGTAGTATACATTTCACAAGTGTGGCTTATAAAAAGTAACTTATATTACAGGAGATGCACTGCAATAGTACTATGTCTGACTGTCAAGGAAAGAGGATGAAGTTTATCAGTGTTTGAGGATGAAACTGCTGTTTAGTGCACCCAGGTTTCCAATGTT